GGATTTTTGAGCTGGTGGAAGTGGTTGGCAATGGCACGTACGGGCAAGTCTACAAGGTTTGTGGCAGAATTTCTTCTCCTTCTATTATTGTCATTTTTCTACAGGTTACCCGGTGTCTCTGCCGGGCTGAGCACACGGCTGACGGCGAGCCACCCGCTGTGGCAAGCGGAACAGTTGGGGATGATAAAAATGCTGTCCTTGTCATTGTTGCTGCCCGTGACAAGTTTGTCAGTCTCTTGGCTTCTGCTTTTCCAGAGGGGCACAAATTGCTCCCTCAAGCACCCATCCTGAAATGATGAAATAGTCCTTTATTGTCCTTATTCCCCCCTACGCCCCCCCCCGAGAAATGACCAAACCGAGCGGGCACTGTCAGAGTGTGTCCGGGCTATACAAATAGGTCCGTGGGCTTATTCAGAATTGCTGCTGGAAGTCCTCATGGAAGTTACTGCAGCTGCTGCGGTGACTTTAGACAAAGGCATTGGCCTTCATTAAAATTGTCACCCGGTTTCCTTGTTGGAAAACCTTCAAAGTGCTGGAGCTGTCGAGTCGGGGGTGAATGGTACTGCATCCGATCCCGCTGTGCTGTGCTCTGCAATGATGGGGGGGAGCAGAGTGACAATAATAAGCGATCGAAGCAGGGAAGCTTATTTTGTGAAAATCAGAATTCCCAGAATAACCTGTTTGACAAGTGTATGACTTTAAAAAATAGAAATCGGAGAGTGCCCATGTGGGTGTGAAACTAGCCTACTTTTTTTTCCCCCTCCCGTGTGCAGTCAGTGGAACAAACAAATCTCGAGATTGCATGACTTTGCAGTGAGTGCTAGCTACCAGGATGACTAATTATTCACACAGTCTTAACACTTGGCTAAAGACGGGAGGCTCTGGCCTTGTATCGTATAGAAATGCAAGGCACATTTGCAGAAGGAAGGAGAGATAACTGAAAGTAACCGAGTATGCCTAGCTGCTTGGTTATTTTTTTTTTTTGCTTATAAACAAGGCAGTATAATTGGTGAGTTTCCCTGATGGCAAGATACTGCTGCTTGCAGCTCCAGTAACTAAATAAAGCACTTCGGTGCCTCTTCTGCAAATGAGACACATGTCAGTTTGTTTTGAGGGCGTGAACCTCAGCCTTCGTGATGGAGAAGCAGTCCGTCTGCGCAGTGTGCGAGTTGCATTTTAAGACTAGAAGTGGAATAACTGGGCTGCTGCTGTTGGCAGAAAGCTGGAAAAAACGATGTGGCTCAAAAGGCCAGAGGAGAGGGGGGAGATGAGTTGAGAAGCTGCACTTTGACACCACCTTGACCATTTAATGTTGTTCTGACGTTTTTTTCTGACAAATGACACCATTTAATTTTTTTTCTGTAATCCTTCTGCTCCCAGAGCTTGCATCACCTTCACCTGAACCCTTCTTACAAAAAAAAAAAAAAAAAAAAAAAAAAAAAAAAAAAAAAAAAAAAAAAAAAAAAAAAAAAAAAAAAAAAAAAAAAAAAAAAAAAAAAAAAAAAAAAAAAAAAAAAAAAAAAAAAAAAAAAAAAAAAAAAAAAAAAAAAAAAAAAAAAAAAAAAAAAAAAAAAAAAAAAAAAAAAAAAAAAAAAAAAAAAAAAAAAAAAAAAAAAAAAAAAAAAAAAAAAAAAAAAGTAGGGCGTGAATGTGTGACTTGAAACTCTCCTGTTAATTGTTGCAATTTGGTGCATTGTTTCTAGGCTTAGTTGTTAATGCTTTGACTTAATGAGTGAAGTCCTCGGTGGTTTAACAGTCTTGACAATAGAAATTTTAAATTTCATTTTCCTTAAGTATGCTAGAACTCTCCCGGAATAGTTAGCATTAGAAATGAAACTCGGCGCATGCATTTATTGACTTGGAAGAGTGAATGAACACCTGAGGTCTCAGGGCATCGGTGTCACTCTGGTAACAGGGGGAGCAGCGGGCGGCTTCTGTCAGGGCACTAGTTTGGGTGTGTGTCTGATGAGATTTCCCTGCCCTTCCTCGTCGGTTAGACAACGCTGGCAATGTTTCCTCTTGCCTGGTAACGGAGGGCATGGTGGTTTGGGTGCCATGGAATAAAGGAAGTAGGTAAATACTGCTTTGCTACAGAGCCTTTCAGGCAGTAGTGGGTTGACAGGTGTGTAAGTTTGGATTTGCGCTGCTACTTCTTAGGCATTTGTCCACATCGGTGTACATAGTCTTAAAATGTGGACACCTAAGAGGGTTGTACATAAACAAAAGATACCAACACAAAAAACTTCCTTGCTCTGATTAAACCTTGTCTTTCTTCTTAAAAGAATGCAGTTACGTAGAAAAAATCAGTGCAATAGCAGTGCAATAGTATTTAACTTTTCTCAGCCGCTGTTTTGTTAGGAAAAATGCTCCCGGGACACCCGAAGATGAAACTGCGTGTGAATGTTTTCAGGGCTTTCGGAGGAACTGCATAACCGAGGGAAAAACGTGGTTACGCTGTGTTTGCTTGTTGCCTTCCGCTTTCCTCCTACCCAGCAAGCCCTCCTTGAAATCCCTCTTCTCAAATGGTTTTACTTCCCTTTTAACTGGTCTGTCATCCCAAGGGACTGGTGGCAGGTAGGTTGTCTTTGAGGAGCCATGCCCCGAGATCTCTGGGGCAGCTGCTAGTTTGATGTACTTCCACATTTGTGTATCGGCATCAGCGATGATGTCACCCGGGTGCGGGGAGCGGGATTGGCTGGCTACCTGCCACTGCGGGGAGGACGGAGGGAGCGGGAGAGGGCATGACGTTATCTCTTTGTCTAGCTCATACACCCTGGCGATGATACCGAAGGTCGTTTGCCTTGCTGGGGAGTCTCCTCTCCAGCGGTGGGAAGGAGACTGCGCCGACCTGTTGAAAAGCAGAAAATAGTCCTGATTTTCTCCTCTTTGCCTTAGCTGAGCTTGCTGGAAATAGCTCAGATCTAGCTAGCTAGCCATATTTCTATAGATAGTTCTACCATAGCTATTTATTTAGCTATATATAGCTATATAGATGTATATAGGTGTGTATACGCGCATGAAGTATGAGGGCAGCCCTTGGTTGGTTGGCACCTAAATGCAAGTGGAGTTACTCCCTGTCACAGAGCAGTGTGGATCCTCCTGGGATTTTATGCGGTTAAATGGGTTGGCTTATGTGGAGCGTACTGTGGGCCTGGGACCTCGGCGGTGAGGTATCAAAAAATACTAGGCTTTCAGCTGCTCCGCTTAAAGTCTGTGGAGTTTACATTATTTTCATCTTCATAAGCTTGCTTATACCTTTCCTTACGATGTAAAGGAGCCTTGCGTTTCAAGAACAGCTTGCTACACAGCGGTGAATCGGGGAAAAAAATGAGCCTGGGGTTCCCCGGCCCTGGGTGCCGAAAAGAAACGGGATGTTTTTGGAAAGTCTTTGCCCAGCGCAGGGGAAGGGGCGGCGGGGGGGGGGGGTTTTTTGTTGGGCGAAGCTCGGCGGTGAGGTATCAAAAAATACTAGGCTTTCAGCTGCTCCGCTTAAAGTCTGTGGAGTTTACATTATTTTCATCTTCATAAGCTTGCTTATACCTTTCCTTACGATGTAAAGGAGCCTTGCGTTTCAAGAACAGCTTGCTACACAGCGGTGAATCGGGGAAAAAAATGAGCCTGGGGTTCCCCGGCCCTGGGTGCCGAAAAGAAACGGGATGTTTTTGGAAAGTCTTTGCCCAGCGCAGGGGAAGGGGCGGCGGTGGGGGTGGCTTGTTCGTCCTGGGGCAAAGCAGAGCTCCTCCGCTGATCATCTGAAATCCCGGGCAATGAAAGGCCGGTCTGGAAGTTGTTTGCCCTTTAGTAGTTCAAAATCCGAGAGTGATGGCACTGAAGAAGGAGGGATGCTTTTGCAAGTTGCATCGCTTGTAAGTTAGAAAGCAAAGGGTTAAACGTTGCAAAGTAGAGCGAGCAGAGTTCCCTCCGAGCTGATGCAGAAACGACTGGCCGCAGAATGCCCTGAGTCTGTAGTTTAACACTTTTAAGGAGCCCCACGCCTCTGCTGGAGTTTAGAGAGAGAAATTTCCCTTCAACAGGTTGGTATCAGCTGATGGGAGCCCAGAGGCATGTGCGGGCTTGTCCGGAGCAGTGCCCTGCCTGCCCGCAGTGGGCAGAGCTGGCAGAGGAGCACCCCCACCTGGGGCTCAGCGCCCCTAAGCCCTCTTTTCAGCAACAGAGTAGCGATGTACCACCTTTAACTAGTGAGGTGCAAGCAAGGGATGATGTGAACGGCACAGAATTCAGCAGAAAAATGGTGCTAGCCTGTAATTGTGCTTTTTGTGCATGCTGCTGTCTTGTGGGATGGCTGTGCCTCCAGTCTCCTTTCCTCCTGAAGTCAATCCCGCTTTATCAGAGCACTTTGGTGTAACTGGAACTTGTAGCCAGCTTACCAAACGATTAGCTACCCTAAGGACTTTTTTTGATCTTTTGGAAATAGTGAGGAAGCATTTTTAGCATTGCTGCGGTTCGATTTTAGTTTTTCACAAACAGTAGTAAGCTTAATTTGAAGTTTGGCTCGCACAAAATGAAAACACTCCCGAAATTTGCCTCGAGATAAGATTCGAACTGGGTGTTTGCTTCCCTTTTTCTTTTTTAATGCAAAAATGATCTGTGAACTAAAGGCATTGGTTAATATTTTGCACATTTAAAAATCTCTACCATCTGATACTTCATAGAGGCATAAGGCTGATTAATGTCGCTATTGAGACTGAACTGTGTTAACTTGCTCCGTCACTTTCTCTTTGGTTTTTTTTTTGGCGGGTGTGTGTATGTGTTTTTTAAAGACAGCTAACACTTTAAAATAGCTGTTGTGAGTGCGCTGTTAGGTCTCACAGATAGACATCGTAATTCTCTTGCAGCAGCAATGACTGGGGGGAAGGATGTTTTCGTGCGAGTTCTGAGAGCGCACCAGCAAAATGAGAATTAGGGAGGATACTCCTAATTGCCCTCAACGCAGGCTGGTGTGGCTTTCTAAGAGCCTTGTAATAGTTAATTCACAGTGAAGGCTTCTTTTGTTGATTTATGTTGCAGCCTTCCAAAACTGCATGTAAATGATGTG